TTCAGTGCGCTTTCATTTCCTTTTCGCCTAAAATATAAAACCGCTGGCCAAATTTAAATCTAGCTACACTTTTTATCTCCATTTTAAACGGGGATAGTTAAACTAAAATACCTATTTATTGCTGCAGTCAGGCTGACCCTACCGACACTTAGACTTCGCTCTGATTTTCTTACTCTTTTTACTTGGTCAAATTAACTTTTCTGCACCGAGCTACTTGAACAGGCTACTTTTCATATTTCCTATCATTCTACTAACTATAGTAAAAATACTCCTATTGATAGAATGATGCGTTCTTAATTTTCCAAACCTTACAATTTTTAATTCTTCTTTTTTTTCATTCTACAGTCAAGTGTGCAGACAAGTTAAATGTTTAAATTAAATTATCTTTCATATTTCTATAATTATCCTGTTTTTCTTCAGCCTGGAAGGAAGCCCTGATAGTTGCATTACCCAAGAAACTTAAACCCACCCTTCCTAGAGACTATCGACGTATAAACAAACAAAAGAACGACACTTTTGAAAGCTGATTTTTAGAAAAATCTGATTTTTTTGTGTGTAATAATTCAGCATATGCTATATGTTAAAATAGCAAGTAATTTTTTTTTAATTAATTATTTTATTTAACTCTTGTGTACACACACATTGTTTTGCTAATAAATACTGATAATCAGCACACTCAAAAAGTGTGATTAACATGGCATTTGAGGGTGTTTTTTTTGTTTTTTAAATTCAGCATATGCTATATGTTAAAATAGCAAGTAATGTGTGTTAATTCAATAAATAAAGTAAATAAAAACTATACACAATAAAAGTGAATTATTGTAGAGATCATTTCTACTTAAGGTCAACGTTGAGTTGAAGATTTCCTAAATTATTGTATAAAATACTACTACTTGATTGTTGTAAATTATACAGGGAATTTAAAGTAATGAATCTATACCAAATCTTTCTTAAATGTTCATGATTATATATCAGTGAATATAAGACAAGACACAATACATTTTTACAATTTAAAAACTATGCAACATTATAATTTTTCATTAAATACACTGAATTACAAAGAAGGCAAAAAATTTATAATTTCAAAAATTGTAAATTGTAATTATTTTAAAGCCAAGATTTTTTTTTCATGCTACATGTTTAATCTGCATTATGTTTATTTTATTTATTTATTTTTTTTTTTTCATTGTGCTTTTGTTAAGATATATTCTGTTTATTTCTCTAATGATCTCCAAAAACTCCTGCTGTATAAAATACTACTACTACTTAATTGTTGGACATTATACAGAGAATTTAAAGTAATGAATCTATACCAAATCTTTCTTAAATGTTCATGATTATATATCAGTGAATATAAAGACAGAATATATTTTTACAATGTAACAACTACATTATAATTTTTCGTTAAAAACACTGAACTACAAAGAAGGCAAAAAATTTATAATTTCAAAAATTTTAAATCGTAGTTAAGATATTTTAAAGCCAAGATTTAATTTTTTTCATGCTACATGTTTAATCTGTATTATGTTTATTTGTTTGTTTTTCACTGTGCTTTTGTAAAGATATATTATGTTTATTTCTTTAATGATCTCCAAAAACTCCTGCTGTATAAAATACTACTACTACTTAAATGTTGTAAATTATACAGTGAATTTAAAGTAATGACTCTATACCAAATCTTTCTTAAATGTTCATGATTGTACTTCAGTGAATATAAGACAAGACACAATTCATTGGCTAACTCACATTTTTACAATGTAAAAACTGCGCAACATTATAATTTTTCATAAAATACTCTGAACTACAAAGAAGGCAAAAATTTATAATTTCAAAAAATTTAAATTGTAGTTGAGATATTTTAAAGCCAAGATTGAATTTTTTTCATGCTACATGTTTAATCTGTATTATGTTTATTTGTTTGTTTTTCACTGTGCTTTTGTAAAGATATATTCTGTTTATTTCTTTAATGATCTCCAAAAACTCCTGCTGTATAAAATACTACTACCACTTAAATGTTGGAAATTATACAGTGAATTTAAAGTAATGACTATGCCAAATCTTTCTTAAATGTTCATGATTATATTTCAGTGAATATAAGACAAGACACAATTCATTGGCTAACTCAAATTTTTACCTTGTAAAAACTGTGCAACATTATAATTTTTCATTAAATACACTGAACTACAAAGAAGGCAAAAATTTTAAATCGTAGTTAAGATATTTTAAAGCCAAGATTTAATTTTTTTCATGCTACATGTTTAATCTGTATTATGTTTATTTGTTTGTTTTTCATTGTGCTTTTGTAAAGATATATTCTGTTTATTTCTCTAATAATCAAAAACTACTGTCTAGACAAGCTTTGCTTTTTGACAGCAGCCAGGGATGTACCGAAATATTATTTTTTGTTGTCAATTTATATATAATGTACATACTTGCAAATAATATTATTATTACTATTATGTATATTCTAAGTTAAATTATATTTCATATTTCTTTAATTATCCTGTTTTTCTTCAGCCTGTAAGGAAACCCTGATAGTTGCATTACCCAAGAAACTTAAACCCAGTCTTGCTAGTAACTATCGACGTCTAAACAAACTGGCTACACAATAAACGAATTTGTTTGTATACCATAATCTCAGAAAGAAAGGCTCTTTTAAAAGCTGATTTTAGCAAAATCTGTAAATTTTTTATAATAATTCAGCATATGCTTTATGTTAAAATAGCATGTAGTGTGTGTTAGTTGAATAAACAAAGTACATAAAAACTATACAACGCAAATGTGTATATTTAGCAATTGTCAATTATTGGAAAGATTCTTACTACTTCAACGTTGAGTTGAAGATTTACTAAATTATTGTAAAAAATACTACTACTACTACTTTATTGTTGGAATGCTCCAAACATGAAAAGTTAGAAATTGTCCATAATATACCACTCAACATTAACCTTTATGAAATTAGGCTCCTCTGATGTAGTACAGTTTTGTTGATTGTCTTTAAATACTTGATTTTATATTTAAAACATGGCCATGGAAAAAAGAAAAACAGCTGAAAATATACAGACATGTAGACTTCGCTCTGATTTACTTATTCTTTTCAAAATAATTAATTATTATACTGATGGTACTTTTTACTTAGTCTAATTAACTTTTCTGTACCGAGCTACTTAACCAAACATAGTAGACTTTTTCATATTCCTACTATTCTACCAACTATAGTAAAAATACTCTTATCGACAGAATGATGCGATCATAACTTTCCAAATCTTCCAATTTTTAATTCTTCTTTCTTTTTCATTCTTCAGTCAAGTGTGCAGACATGTTAAATCTTGAATTATTATATATATTTTAAGTTAAATTATCTTTCATATTATTATCCTGTTTTCCTTCAGCGTGGAAGGAAGCCCTAATAGTTGCATTACCCAAAAAACCTGAACCCTCCCTTGCTAGTTACTATGACCCTATTAGTATTCTTCCATCATTTTTTTTTTTTTTTTAAGATTTTATTTAAACAAATATCCTTATTTATTGACTCTCATCCCCTTATATCCCCTTTTCAATCTGGCTTCCAAAAATTTCATAGTTGTGAGACAGCCCTTCTCAAAATGTCAGATGATATTTGACTAAGAATCGATGTAATTGTACTATTATTGTTCTAATTTATTTTTCCAATGCATTTGGTTCCGTAAATCATAATTTGTTTATTTGGAAACTGACACATCTTTTTGGTTTTTCTTCTACTGCTACTAATCTCATTCCTTCTACTTGTCTGACAGAACTCAAGTTAAAGCTTCAAATTCTATCTGTTCTTTCTCAATTTCATCTGGTGTATCCCGAGGCTCTACTCTTGAACCTTTACTCTTTTCCATGTTTATAAATGATTTTCCATTAGTTCTTAATTTCTTCCAATTTCGTCTTTATGCTGATGACACTCAGCTTTACACTCAATGCCCAACAAGCAACATCTCTGAAGCTATTTCTCTGTTCAACCGTCATCTTCATTCTCTCAACCAACAGTTAATCTAAACCCTTACAAATCCCAGGCCTTATCAATTTCCAATAAACCCATTAGAACATATAGCCTATCCCCTCCTCATATCAAGAGCTCCCTTATTAATTTGTATCCTAAAGTTAAAAATCTCGGCGTTATTTTTAACTCCAAGCTTACATGTCATGACCATGTGAGCTCTATTATTAAAAAGATTTACTCAAGCCTCCATTATCTTTGATGCCTCAGCTTTTTCGCTCTACAGAAAACTAGAGTTCTCCTTATTAAATCCCTAATAATTCCTTTATTCTCTTACTGTAGCGCTGTTTTTTCACTTTCCTTAGACTCTCGATCTGCTCAATGCCTTCAAATTGCTTATAATTCCTGCATTAGATACTTTAATGATCTTAAACCAAGGATCGTATTTTGTGGTTGCATCATTCGATTATAATTACCATTTAAAAATATATTATTGTTTTGTATATTTTAATGTTATATAAGTTATATTTAATTTTTGTCTTTGCCAATAAGAATTTATTTCTTATTATTGATCTTATTTTGAAGTTTTTTGTTTGTCAAATGAAAAATTTCTTTTGGGTAGGCTAGGTAAGTACTTAGTAAAATCATTCCTTCATATCAAATAGCGTAATGTCCAACTACCTGTTCGGTATCGTAGACGAGGGATCTAACCTCCATTTAGTTAAAATTCTTTCAGCTCTGCCAGGATTCGAACCCAGAACTGTTAATGTGGCAAGTTTGCGTCTGACACCCTAACCACTCGGCTACCACAAACTACCACAATTCCATTAATAACAATTAACAATGATATGTTTAAAAAAAAAGAGTAACAAAAAATCACCTTTAAATTATGTTATTTTAATTATTAGCATGGCATTACCAGGTATAATTAAATTATTCACTATACACGACTACGGTTTACAAGAATTATTTTTATATATGATCAAAAACTATACAGTATAATTTATTTATTAATCATTTTATTTTTCAATGGACTTATTTTTACAAATTATAAACAGTAAATAATCTTAAAGAAGTAAATATTTGCATGTCTTATAAATATTACTTTTGAACGTTTACAAATCCAGCAGTATTTGAAAAATATTTGTTGGACTCTATAGCATTTTTCTCGGCCGCCTGTGGGTTCACAATTTCCAAACCCTGAAATAGAATTCAGAAAATTTAATTTTTTTTTAATTTAAATTTTAATTTTTTTAATATTGTCAATATTCCTTTGCCAAATAATTACCTGTAAAGGTGTAAAAGCGACACTTGAAGCTGTACCCGAGACTTGCTTTTTGACGGTGCTACTCCCACCCCAAGTTTGCTGTTGTTTCTGAAGGTTTCTTTGTAGGGTTTTGCTAATTCGGACTTTTGTCTTTTCATCGACCTGAGCCATCCGAATTCTTCCGGTGCCAGTCTTTCCAATTGTTCCTCTGGTATAGCCTAGATCTTCTTGATAAGCATCATCTTCAATCTTAAAAAAATAAAAAATCAAATTATTGAGATTAAAAAATAAACGGGGGAGGAAAGCATTTGAGGGCCAACTCACCTCAGCAAAATTAAGCCTATTGGCTTGTTTTCTCAATTCAGTCATTGCATATCTTTCTTTCATCTTTCTTACCCTTTTACCCCCTCGCTTCTTTCTTGCTGGATCGATGGGCTTTGGCAACGGTTTAACAAATTTAACTGGTGGGGGTTCCTAATAAATATAAAATATTAAGTTTATATAAATATTTTGAACAAAAATTAATTCATCGTACCATGAGTTTATCTATTTTCTTTTCAATTTCTTGTCGCAATGTGAGGCCGATATTGCCAGCTTTTGCTTCATGGCTTGCATCAACGCGTGCAGCCAAAGTGCATTTGTTTGCGACAAGCCTTGCAGCTTTTCTTCTTAGATCCTACGTAAATAATTCAACACATACACGTCTATAAGAGGACTGTTTAAAGTTTCTAACAGCATTGAAAAACACAAGAAAAAATAATAAAAATTATTCACAAAAGATGATTTATCTACGGAAATTATTTTACCGGTGGAGTATCCTGAACGAATTGCGAATGGTAAATAAACCCTGTGTGAGGGAGGGCGTTCACTTGTGAAAAGCCTCCTAAAGTTTTTTTCTGATTTCCAAGTAAAAGGACATTGCAAGCGGGCATTTTCGATAAATTTGTCAAACCACCGGCTACACCTAAAGTAAAAAATTAAACAGTACTTTAATAATTATAATTAATAATGACTAATTATGAAATTAAGAGCAAATTAGTATATTTAATTAGGACAGCTGAATAAAATTTAATCTGCATAACTTCAATGAATTCAATTGTGAATTCATAAAAGAATATGAATGTTTTTTTGCAAACGAAAAAAATAATCATTCATGTTTGAATATGAATTTAGGTATTAACAAGTTTAAAATTCAAAAATTGCAATAATTCTGAGCACCTGCACACTCCCCATTAATGCTTTATTGCTAATAATATTGCTCAAAAACACTGAAAATAAATAAACAATTTTTTTTTAAGTCTGGCCAATCCAGCATGCCATTTACAATATTAAAATATTAAAAAATACCCATTATTTTTGCTGCCGTCGAAGCTCCAATAATGGCTGAAAGATTAGGAGCAATAAACGACATTCGACTCTCAACATACTCATATATCCTAAGTTTTGTCGCGTTTAAATTAATAGCCATGTTGCACGCTTCAGTAATGTCATCCAATTCTTTCTCAGTCAACAATTCTCTTTAAAAAAAAAAAAATAAATAAATAAAATAAATAAATGCTGTTATAAAATATTTGTAAAAGATTAACTGGAATTATTAGTACCCTTGAGTTGTAGATGCAGTGACAGATACGACCATAATCGTCGCTTGAGTAAGAAACTGCTGCAAGACTTCGTTGTTTTTTGCTTGGCCCAAGTCGTTGCCAACTTCTTTAACTGTCCTAAGGTATTCAAGTGGATCGATGACAAGTGACTCCAATTCAGGGAACCTTTTTGAATACTTATCTCTGACAAAACGATGAATTACCACTGTAAAATTGCATAGAAAGACAAATAAACTTTTTTTTTAATATACCGTAACAATTATATATTCCATACACTTTCTTATAAACAGCATAGTTATACTAAACTTTTAAAAGAGCTTTATTATTCAAGCAACTTCTGTAAGTTCATTTATATTTTGTTTTAAATTATTAAATACAATTTGAATCACTCATTCGCACTGAATTTGGTTTTTTGCTGCATGCTAGAGTTTTGCTGGCATGCTAGAGTGTAAAACCTGGAAGATCTATCAGTCAAAATTATTTCCAATATAATTAATTGTCTTCTATACCATAATTTTGATTAACTAATTGTTTTGGCCTTATTTCTGGTATATAAAAATATTTAAACAGGGTTTGCAACTGTAGAGGTTATAATTATTATTTTTATTATTTATATATTATAATTATTATTACCCCTGGGGGTTCTGGTGTTTTTCCATTAAAAACCTCCATTTGAGAGTATTTTGAGTTTGAATAATGTCCCACTTAAATTCAAACCTGGGACCTTCTAGCTATGAGTGCCATGTCACTGTTGCTGCAACAACTGCTGTAGCCACTAGTGTCTTTTTTTTTTTTTTTTTTTTTTTAATCAGTCACTACTGTGAAGAATCTTTTGTATATTGTCCTTTTTTATTTTTGTTTTGGCAAGGTGTCACATGTATAAATAAGTACTGTCTTGAATTGGTAAACTCGGAATTTGTGAAGTTTGCCATACTTATAATTAAGCCCTTATTGTTTCGTTTTATAAACTAGACCAATCACAAAAGAAAAAATGCTTTTTTAAATTTATCATTTTGTCAACGGGATTTTTTTTATTGGAACTGATAATTTGATCCTCTCATCTAGGTCTGCCTTTCCTCTCTAGGTTGGTCTGTCACACAAGTTTCAGCATTTTGCCATCTGCCTCACCCTGCTTATACCCCTTACCCAGCAATGAGGCTCACTAAGACGGAGAAATGCCGAAACCCATCAGACAGATCAATCCTGTAGAGCAGGCAGATCAAGCAGACCAAGATGATCGGTAAGGATCAAATTACATTTAGTCAGTTTATTTATTTGTTAAGTATTGAACGCAATATTAAAATTGTAAAAAATGGAAAGCTGGTCTTAGATAAGGACATTCACAAGTGACTTATCCAGTTGTCAAGTATTTGAAATATTTATATTATAATTAGTTACTGAATCTGATGGTGGATCAAATGTATGTTCAAAATATTAGCTCATAACATTAAAAATGACCGCTGTTTTGTATGTAGTAATTATTCAGTCGGAACTGCGTTTCACTGCATGGGTTTGCAACAGCAGAGGTTATATCAACCCTCGGTGTGCCGGTGTTTTTGAAAAAAGCCCATTTGTAAGTATGTCGGGTTCGAATGCAGGGCCACTGGATTCGAACCCAGGCCTTTACCTTACAGAGATGAGCGCCGTGTCAACGCCTAAACCGTTGCGGCCACCGACGTCCCCAACCTTAACCGACGCATTTCAACCTTAAAAACATTATATACAATACATGGACTGCATGTATTAGTACATGCCTGCGAAACGAACCTATCTCATTATCTATTTCTGCGGCAAGGTTGTTCGCTTCTACAATTAGCTGGTATTCAGGATCAGCCTCGACCGGGCCATTTATAGTCCTATATAATCCCAGGTTGCAGCTTTTATTTGCATACTTCTCCATCTCGTCAGTTATCATCTGGAGCCTATCTGAGTAGTAGAGCTTTGCCAGTTGGTCCAATGATGTCACCTTCATTTCTAAAATAAAAATGTTTTATTGGATTTTTTTTTAAAGCAGACTCTCGTATAGTACCTACCGTCTGCAATCGGCTGCAGATCCTTTTCAGGTTCGTCCTTATACTCCGGGACCATGCTCTGCTCGTCGTTGTCATCCTCCAGGTCCGCTAGCAACTCGTCAGCCAACGACATCCTGATTTATTGATATAAACTGATATTCACCAAAAAACAAATACACAGGAAACGTTCAACCGACGTTTGACTTATGATCCATCTCCCTCCAGGCAGGTTACACTCTACAGTATACACTCTACAGTACACACTACACACTGTATGACTATACGGCCGGCAAAACTCTAGCATGCTGTAAAGTTTAATTAAGTTATATACATTAAAATTTGATCAATCTCTTTATATTTAGTAATAAAAAAATTATTTAGTGAAAATATTCATGTAAAAATTACTTTAAAAATTTAAGCTGTTGTAAATACGGCCGAATACACCGCCGGTTAACTCCAAGAGACAAATTATCTCTCAAACTATATTTATGATTTCATCATAAATATATTGATTTTATATAATTTTTTTATAGAAATTAATTTCCCTCTATTACATCACATTATACACTCTAGTAATTACATGAAGCACTATATGCACAAATTATTAATTTATTATTAATCAGTTTTAAAAGTTAAATTATTATAGTCGTTTTAAAAAGATAGGCCATAATAAATATGGTATACAAAAAAATATATTGTAAAAGTTATGCTGGCACCAAGGTAGTAGTAAATTTTTATGTTAAGCTTTTTTATAAATGTACTTTTAAACATTAACCCTTGTAAAATTTTGTTTAAAAGTTACACTCTTGTAAAAATTGTTTTAAAGTTAAGCCTTTCTCGAAGTTTCTTTAAGTTGTTGTATAAATTGAACTCAAAATAAAGCTATCTAAAAGTTATTGCTCTTGTAAAAGCTTTCGTTAAAGTTAAGCTGTTCTCAAAAGTTCTTATACAAATTACCATCAAAATAAAGCTATCCAAAGTTGGTGTTCTTGTAAGAGCTTTCTTTAAAGTCAATCTTTTATCAAAGTTTTTTAAAACTTAAGTTCTTATAAAAAATTGACATCAAAATAAAACTATCAAAAAGTTGGTGCTCTGTTTAAAGTTAACTCTTTCTTAAAGTTATTTAAAAGTTAAGTTCTTATAAAAATTGACACCCAAATAAAACTATCCAATAGTGGGTGCTGGTGTAAAAGCTTTCTTCAAAATTTCTTTAAAAATTAAAATTTTAAGAAATTTTTATGTTTTATTATTTTTTATCTTTTATTAAGTTGTGAAAATAGTGCTCATTTTATTTTAATAGTTTTGGGAAAAGTTAATATTGTAAAATTAGTTTCTGTACAAACTGCCATCAAAATAAAGCTATCCAAAGTTGGTGTTCTTGTAAGAGCTCTCTTTAAAGTCAATCTTTTATCAAAGTTCTTTAAAACTTAAGTTCTTATAAAAAATTGTCATCAAAATAAAGCTATCCAAAATTTGACGCTTTTGTAAAAGGTATATTTAAAGTTAGCTTTTCTTAAAGTTATTTAAAAGTTAAGTTCTTATAAAAATTGTCCTCAAAATAAAACTATCCAAAAGTTGGTGCCCTTGCAAAAACTTTCTTTAAAGTTATGCTTTCCTCAAAATTTCTTTAAAAATTACAATGTAAAGAAAAATTGTTATCTACATAAAACTGTTGTGAAAATGGTGCTTTTCTACCATAATATTTAGTTTTGTGTAAAGTTACTAGTGTATATAAAATTGTAAAAGTCAACTTCTAGGAAAACATATCAAAGTGAAGAACAATATTTCAAAATTAATTAAGGTTTTTAGTTGAGATAAAAAAGTCAATGGCACGAGCGAGATTCGAACCCATGATCTTCGGCTAGATACACAGCTGCTCTACCACTTGAGACTCGATCCCCTCGGACACTAACTTCCCATCTCAACCCCACCTTTTGAATTTTCCCTCCTTTTTGCCATTTTTCCCGCTCGTACCATTGACTTTTTTATCTCAACTAAAAAACCTTAATTAATTGTAATATATTAATTGGTCAAGCGGACCACGAAATTTGTGAATTTAATATTTCAAAAATTGGTTTTGAGAATTAACACTTTTTTTTCAGTTTGTTTACAAGCTAAGCTCTCACAAAAACTTAATTAATTTATTAATTAAAAAATTCTTGAACAGCCCTAGGTATTAATGGAGATTGTACAATAGACCAATATTGGTCGAGGTGCATAATGTCGAAAAGAGGCCAACTTTTAATTTCAACCTTACAATCTTGGAAAAATTACTCTAAAATTTATGCCCTTATAAAAATCCCTGTGGAAGCCAAACAACTGAACTTTGCTTAAAAGTTAAACTCCTATAAAGTTACTATCAAAGTGAAGCATTGTACAAATGTCAAACTTTTGTAAATTGCGCTTTCAAACTAAATTTGTAAAAATCTTTTTGCCAAGTTGTTTTAAAAGTTAATCAGTTTTTAACGTACTTAATAGTTAAGCACTTCTATTGTTTTTCCACAGTTGATGGATGTTGGACTAATAAAATCTCATAGGAAGAAAGTTATGTAGGATTAAAGCATTCTAAAGCAAGCATTTTTTAAAATTAATCAGTGACAATGTTAGGATCTTGAAAAAAAAATTATTATAAAAATTAAAATTAATAAATAATATGCAAAACACAACTTTATTTAAAAGTTGAAAAATGCTTCAAAACTTTAAGTTCTTATAAAAATTACAATCATAGTGAAACATTTTGAAGACATTTAGTAAAAAATTTGTAAAAAAATGCATTAATTGCTACGATAAATGACACCTAAAAAAATGATATTTTCATTTTTCATCAATATTTACTGATGAAATTATAATGATTAGAAAACAGTTGTTTTACTTGTTACTAGACTTGATAAGTGCTCAAACTGAAACGTTAAATTCTATTTTTGAGCTGAAATGTATGGTTAATTCATAATTATTACTTGGAGACCATGGTGGTTGAGTGGTTATGAACTCGTATTTGCCACTTTAATGGTCCTGGGTTAGAATCCCAGCATAGCTCATGGTTTTTAATTGGAAATAGTATGAAAAATATATTGTAAAGTGGTTTGATTCCTCTTCTGCAGCACTCAATAGGTAGTTGGACGTTAATCCCTCCTGTAAGACTGGAATTACTTTACTTTACTATAATAATTATTACTCAAAGTGAAATTTTTTTATCAATGCAAAAATACCAGCTTAGCAAACAGATCAATATTATAATCACATGTATGTTCAGATTTATTCTTAACAAATCAGGTATTGTGAGCATTGGTCATTGTGGATAATTAATGCCAATCAATGTGAGATTATAGTTAGCTATATGCGTTTCAAGAAAAAATTACAAGTTCCATACATGTCATTTACTTTCTTTGGTATAAGCAAACCACATATCAGACTGATTTTGTATGCCACTACTCCCTTACTTGTCTGAAAGACAAGATGATGTTGACAACGAAAGAACAAATTGTCCCAAAATGTTTCAGAGTACAAGTAATTTGCAGTCAGTTGGTACTTATGTGGCCAATCAATGTGGCAAATATTTTTTTAAAATTACTAGTTTGGTAAGTAATTTAGCTAGGAAAACACTATTATGTTGTAAATAGAATTTTGTTCAATTTTTAGGATGTATTTTGGGATTATTGTCGTATCTCTAGCACTTGCAATGGTAGGACTCCTACTCAAGGTTCTTTCGTCAAAAGATCTTTTGGACAGAAGTGAGGCAATTGATATTCTTACATTGGTGACATCGGCTTTATACAAACTACTTTTTTTCTCGGTAAAACATGAGAAATTCCGATGGGTTGTCATGAAGTGTTCTAAGTTTGAAAAACTTTTGCCTGACGGTTGGAACAGTATGACATCGAAGCTTTCAATTTTGCATTCGATGTCTGCCTTTGCAATTATGTCATTTTGGTCACTCTGCCCGATTTTGAACTGGCTCTTAGGCGTTATAAGCTGGGAATCGCTTTCCCTTCCTATAAATTCGCTGGCGCCCAAGTTCGACGGGTTTATGTTTGGTTTGATTTATTTATGGGGATGCATAAGCTTATTGAGCAGTGCGCAAATATACATGGCTGCAGATATTTTCTGCTTCAGTTCAATACACATGGTTAACGGAGCGATGGAAACGTTAAAGCTGCGGCTTGAGGATATGAGAAAAATATCTGCAAAAGGTAACATCGATACAGAAACAAACACAGTTTTTTAAAAACTTAACAATAAATTGTTTAAATATAGATGATAAGGATGGAAAAGAACCAAGGCACGAATTTCTCAAAAGTTGGATAAATGATCATATTGAAATTATGGAGTAAGTTTATTGATTTTAATTTGATATAATTTCACAAAACCCTCCGTACAACTATCGGCACATCCAAAAACTCACATCCTGACGAATTCCCTCGAACTTCCCTTTCACTGACTGAAGAGAAGATGGCCGCAATTTCTTTTACACAGGAACAGTGCAAGTGATTAACATTTTCTCTCTTGGTGTTATTGATATTTGCCTATATGTAACATAATAATAAGATAATGTAACAATATAATTAAAATCATATTTACTTTTCAGTTATATTCACCAGGTAGATTTGATGATGCGCTCGATGATTGTAGCTGATGTTCTCCATGCAATAATATCATTAAGCTTTGCTATGTTGCAATCCAGCGTAAGTATGGTGTTAATTCAGTCGTGTTGCCTGTGTTTAAAAGCGTATTTCAGGAGTCGCAAAATTTCCTCGACTGGGTCAAAGGGTCTTTATTTATTATCGTCTGCTTTGTTCACCAGTACCTTAACAGCCATTTTGGGCAAAAACTTATCGACCAGGTAAATTTGTGTATGTAAATTTATACTATGCCAACTTAATCTCAATTTGGTTATAGCAAGAAGCCATAAGGAAAAGCGTAAGTGAAATACCATGGGATGAGGGTTCTGTTCCACTTATGAAAACCGTGCTTATAATTGCAAATGGGACTTTGAAACCGGTGAGGTTGAGCGCTTGGAGGATGTACTTTCTTCAGTATGCGACTTTTGTTGAGGTGAACAATATTAAAACTTATGGTTTACTTATATACAAATTTCAAAAAATTATATTCTCTTGTTTTGCAGTTTGTGAAAACAATGGTTTCATGGTTTATGGTTCTTCGTCAACTTAATGATGAGAAGTAAAATAAAAATATCCAATTGTAGAAAAAAAAAAACTATAAAATGTTTATCCTTTTATTTTTAATAGACAATAGAAGGTTTGGTACTGTTTACCAATAATTATTTAATGAATAGAGCAATTTTTGAAATGTTCCAATAAAAATTATTAGTAGACTATTAAGGTTTGGGTATGGGATTAAGGATTAATGTTGTAAACATATTTAAGTAATAAATACAGTAGTACATGTCATTTATATTTATTTTTCCTTTACATTTTTTCATGTTCAGAGAGCTATGCATAGATTACACCTTTTTATAAGGTGTGCATCTAATTTTCAAAATTCTGCAGCTATTGTACATCAAGGTCGCATAGTAGGTCCCATTCTATTTTCAATATATTTGAACTTAACCCTAAGAATGTAAAACTAACAGTACAGCGACAATTTATCTTTGTTTCTTCAATTATCTGCAGATCTACCAGAAGTGGCAAGAGGAAAAGAAAATTCATATCGACAAAACTTGAGGTGTTTTTATTTTGTTTGTGTACAGGTTTGTCAGTATGTAAAAGTAGTTAATTAATCAAAGGACCAGAGTCAACTATATTTTCTTGAGTCTCCATGATTAACATGCAACTTTACTGCATTTTATGTGACAATTACTGTCTTTCTATGAACCTCAGACACTAGCTGAGTAGATCAAAAGATTACGATGATGGATACTAGGAAGGGAGGTTGTTCCCCAAGCAGTGCAGCTGGCTTATCCTGGCTTATAGCACTTTCCTTTTTTCTTAGTTCAGTGTAATTGATTAAATCCTTTTCCTAAGAAGTACTAGTCGTTGCTTCAATACCATTCTCTGAGTTTTATTTGTATCCCAGGTTATGTCTTCATTAAGGGTTGCTTCCTCCATTCAACGATGATTTGGGTAGCTGTTGCTTCCGCCTCATTACGTAATCTACAAATGGGGGCAGCCTGGGTGAGGATTGTTTTTAGCATAAGCTTTCTATGTCTAGCACCTAGAGTTTATCCTTTCCCTTTTGCCTTTTTTTTTTTATGATTGAGGATTCTGTGTTTGTTTTTGTTATACCAAGAATAAGTTTAGAGCCTATGTATGGTCTTGCAGATCTCTGGCCAGTGTGGCTGCCTTTTTGTTACCCGAAATTCCCTTGTGTCCTAGTACCAAAGATATCATCGGGTTGTTGTTTCCCCAGTGCATTTTGGATGCATTCACTGACTAATTTTGACGTGATTTGATGCTAATACTTGGCTATCTGATCTTGAGAGGATTTTTCGTAAGAGTAACCTCTTTTAAGATGTGCTAAGGCACAAGCATTGATGGCAAGTATTTCAGCTTGAAAGACCTATGTATACTTTCTGCAGTAGATAAAATAAATAAGTTTTTCTCTTGACAAGACCTGTCACTAGATTAATGGTTAAAGGTTTTTTTCATTAAGCTTTCCTCCTTGCATTTTTTTAAAATAATAATTTTACCCTAAACCTTACTCATCACTCTAGAACTCTTGTAACCTCATTAAATGCGAACTTTCTCAGTGGTTTGTGGTGTAATAAAATATGTAATTTGGTCGTTATTGATCATCCTGGTCTGCTTATTATCACTGTGATGGTCTGTCAGATGTTCAAGGGGATCAGTGGATCCCAGATTCAAGTGAATGTGGTAACATTAGTAAGGAAATTCTCACAGAAAAAAGTGCATGAAGAGGCACCAAGAAGTGTGCACCTTTTCCACAAAACTAAGCCTTTTGATCAAGGTTTTGATGTATGTTGCATTTGTTTTTGTTGTTGGTATGCTGAAGTAAATTTTAAAAGAATGGTTAAGTTATGTGACAACCTAATTTTGATTGGTGGTTAAAGAAAGTTTTGAGGGTCTCCTGCTTGTATTTTCTTTAATTTTACTCAAATCAAAACAAAAATTAAAAACAAAAACAATTATTATTTAATAAATTGTACAAAACAACAATTATCACATAAAATATTTACATTTGTCAAATTCATCAAGCAAATAAATGTCAAATGACTAAAAAACTGCTTTAAAATGTGCAACTTTCACAGCCTTCAGGCACCTTAACTTAAAAAATACTCTTACATATTACGTAGTAGAAAAATACATTTTATCATTTGATATATGTGACACTCTTGCTTGGTAATTCATCCGACCTATAAATAATTTGTGAAGTTTAAATTCACACTGCTTGATTATTAGCTCTTGTTGACAGCTTGCGACTCTTTTATTTTAATTAAAAGGGTAAATCTTTGGTATTAAAAAAAACCTATTTGCACATTTATCACAAAAGGTTGTAGTGCAATTATTTATAAAACAGTATGATAGAGACATTTCTTAGATCCAAATAAATTAAACAAATAAAGTTCAATCATATCCATAAACTTCTCCACCCTTTCGATAATCGGCATTTGCAAAAATTGTGTTGTTCTCTTTTGAAATTGCGCAAACTACAGATCTACTGTTTCTATAACGATGGAATTGGTGACCAAGCATTTTCAATCCATCTATATATTGCTGTAAAATAAGTCAAATTAATAACCAATTTTGAACTTTTGTAAGAAAAATGTACCCTTTTATAAGAAAAATGTACCTTTAATATTCCATATTCGTAAAATACTTTCATTGGATGGAGTTGATGGTGGGGCCTACTTGAATCGACAGCTTGCTTTATGTTTTCACCCAGCCATAAATATCTCAATATAACCTGCAAAATAAGTTGTAAAAATGAAATGTTGAACATTTTTTTAACAGAAAAATAAATTTACCCAAACAACTGAAGTAGTGATTTTAGTTCCTCCTGCAGCTCCAATTACAAGTTTTACATCTCCATTCTTGTCAACTATAATTGTAGGAGTAGCTGAAGACAGTGGTTTCTTGCCCGGTGAGATAAAATTGTTCGGTGATGGTGGCAAACCAAAGTAATTATTGTACGCTGGAACTGAAAAGTCATCCATAGCACTGTTAAGCGTGATGCCAGTTCTCTCTGAAGTAAAACCCGCTCCAAAACTAAAAAAGCGCGACTTTAAGATTTCCTGCACGGTCGGTATATTTAAATTGAACATTTACTATAAATTAATAGTGCTTGTAACAGAAACGGCATCTCCGTCTTCTGAAATGACAGAGATGTGAGCTGTGCCGTGATCTTCTGTCTGGTAGTAAACAGCACCATAATGCTCTGGGTCGGAATAAGTCATAGAATCATTTATTTTATTTCTTGTGAGATCGGCATATTCCGTTGACGTCAAATTTAAAATTATCTGTAAAAAAAATAGTATTGCTGATATTCTGCAGTTATGTTTTCTCATTAAATTATACCTCTTCCATATTGACAAAATTAGGATCTGCTAGTTGCGTTCTTTGTGCATAAGCAAATTTAAAAGCTTCAATAATCCTATGCATAGTCAAAACTGTTTTGTCAGTGTTGTTAAAACTGTCATTGGTTATATTGTATCCATCAAGGATTTTCAATATGTGAGTGAGTAAAGGGCCTGAGCCTGGTGGGGGCATACTGAAAACTTTAACACTATTCCTTAGCTCCACAGAAACCGGCTTTACCCATTCAGCACTATAAAAAACAATGATATATTAAAACTTTCATGTCATAAATAATACCAAAAATAATTACGTATAATTTCTCATGTCGTGTTCAGTTATGATGGATCCCTTCTTTTGAAGATCTTCAACAAAAATTGTCGTAAGGGATCCATTATGTAAAGCATCTCCTCCTTCTTCCGCAATAATTTTTAAAGTCTTGCATAAGGTATGAGGCTTTATCAGATCTCCGTATCTCTTTTTACGACCGGTTTTTTCATCAATGAACATTGATCTATAACAATACAAGTCATAAGGATACAATTTCCAAATTATTAAAGAGTAAATTATTACCTAAAGTTTGGATCATTTTCAATAATATTTGGCCTGAAATCCAAAACGTCATACTGTGGTTTCGTCATGTTATAGCCAGCATTGCACAAATCAATCGCAGGCTGAATAATATCTTTCCATGGGAGATTTGCAAATTTCTTATATGCTGCCCAGTATCCTCGCAATTCGCCCGGCACACCGACAGCTAGACCACCTGACAAAGAATGTTATTTCAAAGTAGTTTTTATTTATAAAAAAAAAAAAAAATCGTACCAGTTTTAGATGCATTAACAGATTTGGCAAACATATTCCTATGAGCTTTGCCAGGGGCAGCATCTCTCGCGTTGAGGCTGTACGCTTGGCCATCCTTTTTACTGTAGTATGTCATGAAAAACCCTCCACCCAATCCCATTGCTTGATTGTTAACGACTCCATTGCAGAAGAGGGCTGCGATCACAGCAGACATTGCATTTCCTCCCTTTTTAAGGATATTTCTGTAAATAAAAAAGTTTGTAATTGAATAACTGACTAAAAATACATATTTGGGTATGTTTTAAAGTGAATCTGTTTTTTTTAATGTTACTAGGATCAAAAAGTCCTTTATTATTGTATTGTTATTAATTAACTTCACCATACGTGTTTGAAGAGAGAGAGAGAGAGAGAGAGAGAGAGAGAGAGAGAGAGAGAGAGAGAGAGAGGAAAGAGTGATATTAAAGTGATTATCTGATGGCTGGCTTGTCTTTGTTTTAAATAATCCTGCTTTGCTGTTTAATAAACAAAAAATCAACCAATCTGGGAGTATTCTCTAATTAGGAGCACCTTTAAATTTTATTTTTCCACTTTATACAGTTTTGATACTTTTTTATTAAAGTTGCAACAAACTCAGTAAATGGCTTACATTTAACAAAATTTAATTTTCATTTTACAAATTTAATTTTAACAAAATTTGGACTAGAGCTAGCTGTTTAACTTGGCATCTGCTCTTTCTGGAACTACACTACCTGACAGTATTTACAGTAGAATTTTGCTTTTAATATTGCTACTTTCATTTCAGGAATGGGAACATTTGACCCTCATGTTTATTTGATCTCTTTTGAACATAATGTCAACAAAAGCACAAATAATATCAATAATCCCTCTTTGTTGCATCAAATGTGAAAGACATTTAAAACATTCTATTTAGACTTGAATAATGTTGTGTAATTGTGCTTTTTCCTTTTCTGGAATTACAGTATGCGCCTTATATATATTTTGTGATTTCAGACAACCAAATTTTTAATAAAACTTATCAGAAGATATCATTGGCATAAATAATTCCTTATAAGGCCTCTAAATATTGAATATATAATAAAATCTTCCATTTTGAACTGTGCTGTTTAATATTGATTCTGCTCGTGCTAAAATCACACTTTTAACATAGGTAATTATTGTAATCAAAGACCTAAACCAAAAAGGTACAAGTGATATAAATAATTATTTTGTAGGGTACCAAAGTGACAAAGCCACATAACAAAATTTTCTAGTTGGAGCATAATCCTACTATTTAATATAATTACTATCAATAATTACTTCTGAGATATCCAACTTTTTGGTTTAGATTAGAATTGTGCTTCTTCTCTTTCCAAAATCATAGTACTTGAACAAGGTATTTATTACGGTCTCAGAAACCTAAACTTTAGCGATTGGTGATGTGTAACATAATTTCTTATTTACAGTAGAATTCTACTAATTAATATTACTTCTTCCTTTTCAAAAATCTGACGAAAGTATTCATAATGTTCTCAGAAACCTAAAGTTTAGCAATGTGCAAATGACATAAATAAATTACTTGCATGGCCTCCAAATGTCACAATATTTGTATTTATTGTGATTGGTGATATATTGTGATAATTTAACAAATTTACCTATTTATATTAGAATTCTGCTATATAATATTACTTCTTCCATTTCAAAAATCACAGTATTTGACCTAGGTATTAATTGTGATCTTCCAGAAACCTGAACTTTACCAATGTACATATGATATAAATAATTATTTCCGTGGCCTCCAAATGTCACAATATTTGTATTTATTGTGATTGGTGATATATTGTGATAATTTTATAAATTTTCCTATTTATATTAGAATTCTGTTAAATAATATTACTTCTTCCATTTCAAAAATCACAGTATTTGACATAGGTATTAATTGTGATCTTCCAGAAACCTAAATTTTAGCAATGTACAAATGATATAAATAATTATTTCCGTGGCCTCCAAATGTCACAATATTTGTATTTATTGTGATTGGTTATATAATGTGATAATTTAACTAATTTTCCTATATATAGTAGAATTCTGCTAAATAATATTACTTCTTCCATTTCAAAAATCACAGTATTTGACCTAGGTGTTAATTGTGATCTTCCAGAAACCTAAATTTTAGCAATGTACAAATGATATAAATAATTATTTCCGTGGCCTCCAAATGTCACAATATTGGTATTTATTGTGATGGGTTATATAATGTGATAATTTAACAAATTTTCCTATATATAGTAGAATTTTGCTAAATAATATTACTTCTTCCATTTCAAAAATCACAGTATTTGACCTAGGTGTTAATTGTGATATTCCAGAAACCTAAATTTTAGCAAAGTACAAATGATATAAATAATTACTTCTGTGGCCTCCAAATGTCACAATATTTGTATTTATTGTGATTAGTGATATATTGAAACCTGAAATAATTACTTCTGTGGCCTCCAAATAACAGTATTCATATTTTTATTGTTTTTGGTGATACATTGTTATCATTTAACATAATTTCCTATTTATACAAGTTTCTGCTAAATAGTAATATTTCTTCCATTGTTGAGAATTACAGTATTTGACCCCCAGGTATTTATTGTGACAGAAAACTAAACTTTAGCGAACTGCCAAATTATAAATAATTATTTTGAGAGGCAACAAAGTGAAAAATTTGCTTAACCTGGTTTTTATGGATTATTAAAAAAAATTATTGTCTGATTTCAATAAATTAGTTTCTTATTGGAACCATGTTATAAATTTCTTGTTAAGGTACGTCAAAATCATTATGAGACAGTATAAACATTGCAACATACGGTGATGAGGTTTCATCACTTGAAATCTTTGTTGTTGTTATTGTTTGTGTGTCTGAGAAGGGCGTTAAATTAACATTTTGTCACAGCAAAGAGGAAAAGTAGGTCTCTTGAATGTCAGACACTCCTTCCGTCCGACCTATTTTTAGCCTTGTATAAAAAACTTGATAATTGAAAAAAAAAATTATCTCTACAAAATGCTGTTTTGGCAATATTTTGTTGCACAAAGGGTTTTTTAAAATAAAAACAACTGAAATAAAACAATATTTTTTATTGTTTAATATAACGTAAGTACAAATGCTTAACAGTTAAAAACATTAAACGAATCAATCACTGCCTAGTCGGAAAAGACTAGAATTAAATTCACAAAATATTTATACATTTTTATTATAAAAAAAAGTAAAAGAAAGGAAAAATATCCGAGTAATCACATATTCTTGGGAAAGGATATCGAAAGGAGCGACACGGCTCCTCGTTGGATGTCCATTGTCCGACTCCGAGGTCAATCAACGTTGTATTCTCTGCAGAAAGGAGATCTTTCAATTTTTCACTTTGCCCTCTTTTTTCTTCGCCTCCGAGTTCTGCAGTTTCGTGACGATTTTTCTCGAGTGGCCGCACGGGTCGAAGTGGTTCTGGTGATCGCTCGCCTCCTTTTTCGACCTCTGCTTCCCGCTGCTACCGCAGTAGAGATTCTTGTCCTGGTCGAAGTTGTAATGCTCGTACTCGTCGAAATGAGACTCGGACATTTTAATTATATTGAAACTTTTTTTCTAGCACAAAACTAACGCGTTGTTTATTGTTTGAACGTTGTCGAACGACTGGCCTCCGACAGCTGAGCCTTGTTGTTTCTATAGATGTAGCGCTTGCGCGCATCTACTGCTGTCAAGGACAACACGTCATCGTCCTTTCGCTCTTCCACTCTCGTCATCATCGTTTTATTGTTTAACAACAAAGAATGTTTATAATCGTTCCAAAAACCCTTGTACCCCGTCTGATAATCATTTCGATATTTTGTTTTCTCTTTTGTCCCAATCCATTTACTCCAATAAGATTCGATTCATATAAGTTAACTAGCTGCATCTATAAGAAATTGCCAGGGATGTTGCCACACGTCAGATATTAATAATAATAAGATGCTTTATTTAAGAATATTTACAAATTTACGTAGTAAAAAAAAACTATATAAAAGCATCCGTCAAACGGAGAGTGATACACAGTTTTGCTATAAAAATAATAATAAATATTTTGTAGATTTATTGACCAACTTTTGTGTTCTCTTGGTTGTTATCAGGGATTCTAACATTGTACGAAGTAAAATTAAATAGCAGAATTCTAGTATAAATAGGAAATTTTGTTAAATTATCACAATATATCACCAATCACAATAAATTTTGTGATATTTGAAGGCCACAGGAGTAATTATTTATATAATTTGTACATTTGTAAAGTTTAGGTTTCTGGGATAACTATTATTAACTAGGTCAAATACCGTGATTTTTGAAATGGAAGAAATAATATTAAATAAAAGAATTCTAATGTAAATAGGAAATTTTGTTAAATTATCACAAAATATCACCAATCACAATAAATACAAATTTTGCGATATTCGGAGGCCACAGGAGTAATTATTTATATCATATGTACATTGGTAAAGTTTAGGTTTCTGGGATAACTAGTATTACCTAGGTCAAATACCGTGATTTTTGAAATAGAAGAAGTAATATTAAATAGGAGAATTCTAATGTAAATATGTGGTGATTAGTGACCGTTAATCGATAATTATTCAGAAATCGTGAGATGCGGTCTGGTTTGATGCAGGTTTCAGAAAAACATTTTCTTTATCGTGCCACGTTTCGATCTTTATTGAGATCATCTTCAGGGCCTGGGATTTACAAACACTGTTTGCATTTAACAAATACATTTACGAAGTGGAAAAGATAATTTATACAATGCAAAATATATTTTTTATATTCAATCAAAGTATTTCTACTCACTCAAAGTGTTTGTCTTCTGTGTAATTGTGCCATTCTTGCGTGTCGTATTGAGAGTGCCAGTGAGATTTTGCTGTTTTATGTTTATCTATGTTAGATTTTGAAGGGGTGGGTAAGGAAGTCGGTATAGAAAAAACATTTTTGTATAAGGCGTCGGCTTCTTTGAAGTAAAAAGAGCCGACAAAGGGAAACAATGTGTTGGTAATGGTTCGGCCAGATTGTTTTTCTGAAACCTACATCACACCAGACCGCATCTCACGATATCTGAATAATTATCGATTAACGGTCACTAATCTCTACACATATGTTATCTATATTGAATTTGATTAATGATATTGGCGTAGCTGTGACTGAGTTTACATGTATCTGTTCTGTAATTGATGCTGTGTTTATCTCTTTAATGTAAATAGGAAATTTTGTTAAATTATCACAAAATATCACCAATCACAATAAATACAAATATTGTGACATTTGGGGGCCACGGAAATAATTATTTATATCATACGTACATTGGTAAAGTTCAGGTTTCTGGGATAACTATTATTACCTATACTTTTTAAAAGGATAGTTTCTACTCACAGTAAGTTGTTTTGCAACGATCCGGANGGCTCGAAATCCGGATCGTTGCAAAACAACTTACTGTGAGTTACTATCTTTTTAAAAAGGATTGAACACCACACTCACTCCATCATTTATCATTTCTATTATTACCTAGGTCAAATACCGTGATTTTTGAAATGGAAGAAGTAATATTAAATAGGAGAATTCTAATGTAAATAGGAAATTTTGTTAAATTATCACAATATATCACCAATCACAATAAATACAAATTTTGTGATATTTATAGGCCACGGAAGTAATTATTTATATCATATGTATATTGGTAAAGTTTACGTTTCTGGGATAACTACTATTACCTAGGTCAAATTTCGTGATTTCTGAAATGGAAGAAGTAATAGTAAATAGGAGAGTTCTAATGTAAATAGGAAAGTTTGTTAAATTATAACAATGTATCACCAATCATAATAAATACGAATACTGTGATATTTGGAAATTTAACAGGCGATGGAAGGTGCATCTCGACACAAGTAAGACAGTTTCCAGACCCATGAAAGTATTTGTACGAGTACGAGAATTGTGTCTCACCGGCGGGGTCTGGCATATACAAACCTGCAAGCCAGACAAGCAATGCGGGTCTCACTTCAGTTCTAAATCCCCAGAATCCAACATAATACTACCTTAATTTCATGAGGCAACCCTTGATCTTAACAGTGGTTACCATGTAAGTTAAAGTAAGCTATATTCTATTAATTTTGATTTGATTAATGTTTTTCTGTCTAAGTTTAACTAACTGGCAGGTTCTGCCATAAACCAAATCTTAATTAGTCTATACTTTGCTATAAATGTAGAGAATATCTCTCTCTTTTCGATGTAATTGCCAGTTGACAGGAGAAAAATTAAGTCGCATATTGACGAAATACACTTAATCGTTCAGTTTAACCCACTCAGGATTTAGGAAAACTGACGCCTAATCCCGTTAGCAAAAAGGCTAAGCTGAGATAAAAGCGGAAGCAACGCAGAAGAAACCAATCGTATATGATGACGAAGAGAGCGGAGAGGGACATCTTGAAGCATTTTAAAGAACTGACTTATCGCTTGTGGACCGTGGCTAATCGCTCTGCGAAAATTGTGCAGCCGTTAAACATTTTTCAATCGGCACATTTGTCAAATCGCATGAAAAAAGTGATCGAGGTCACATTTGATTATCTAAATGAATCAACACAAACAAAATTACAACGCAAATTAATAATAACACTGATTCTTCCTCGACCAATGATTGATGATCCCGTTCATAAAGGTAATATTGTAATAAATAATTAGATAATTAATTAAAACAGACACATTCGTCTTAATATCGGCGATAATTTCACCAAAAGTCGTTAACTGATGACTCAGTGGAAATAATTTCCTTTAAAAAAGTTACAAAATTCAACTATTTCTAATTATGCTTGATTACTTGCAACCTTATTCCAAGAAATTTCTTAAGTGCAATATCAAAAATTATACGTTAAACAAAAAGTTCAACCAAGGACTAAATTTTTCACCGGCCCCTGTTATAAAAAAAAATTCTTCAAGAAACTTGTTATATATGAAACATCGGGAGGAGAGAGATGGACTTTACGACCAGCTACATGTAAAAAAATAGATTTTTTATTATATTTAAAAAGTTATCCAACATCTAGGTTGCTATGAGGGGAGACTATAAATTTTTTATTGGCCTCTTTTTAAAAAGATTTTTCAAGAAATTTGCAAGTTATGCGAAATTTAGAATGTAGTCACAAGCAGCTAGTAAAAAATCTGTGTCTTCATAATACGTAAAAGTTATAGAACATTTAGATTGCTATGACGGGAAAATAACATTTTTATAAGCTCCCTCTTAAAAAGATTCCTCAAGAGACTTGAAAGTTATGCAACATCTAGGGAGAAAACAAGGTGGACTTTGTCACAAGTTACTTGTAAAAAATTACTAAAAGTTATGCTACATCATGGTTGATATTTGAGTGTAACTGTTTTTAAAAGAACACGATTCTTCAAGAAATTTGAAAATTATGCAACATCTAAATTCTAGTAAGGAGGGAAAACAACTGATTTCTTAAGGCCATTTAAAAAAAGAAAGCTTCTTCAAAAACTTGGAAGCTAGGCAACATCTATGTTGATATTAGGGAGGTACAACGACTTTTTTTCACAAGATCATTTTTAAAAAGGGCAAGTTGATTCAAGAAACTTGGAAGGGTGGTACCCTTGTCAGAAGTTACTTATTAAAAAAAATTGGATTCTTTACGATAGGTAAACGTTATATAACACCTAGGTTAATTATTTGGAGGTCGTGAGATGCGGTCTGGTGTGACGTAGGTTTCAGAAAAACATTTTCTTTATCGTGCCAACGTTTCGATCTTTATTGAGAACATCTTCAGAATAAATCTAGGTTAATATTAGGGTGGGAGGCCAACTTTTTCCCCAAGGTTCTTCTTAAAAAGAGCAAGATTGTTAAAAAACAGAGAAGTTATGCAACATCTAGGTTGGTATTAAGGTGAGAGTACAACACATTAACAAGCCTCTTTCTAAAAAGTGTAAGATGGTTCAAGAAACTTGGAAATTATGCAACATCTAAAGGGAAGAGAGGTTCAACTGTCAAGTTACTTGTAAGGTAAAATTTATGTAACGTCGAGTTGATATTTGGGAAAGAGAACGACTGTTTTTACAAGGTCCTTCTTAAAAAGTGTAAGATTGTTCAAGAAACTTGGAAATTATGCAACATCTAAAGGGAAGAGAGAGAGGTTCACAAGTCAAGTTACTTGTAAGGTAAAATTTATGTAATGTCAAGGTAGATATTTGGGAAAGAAAACGACTGTTTTTTCAAGGTCCTTCTTAAAAAGAATAATACTGTTCAAGAAACTTGGAAATTATGCAACATCTAAAGGAAAGAGAGAGAGGTTCACAAGTCAAGTTACTTGTAAGGTATAATTTACGAAGGTCTAGGTTGATATTTGCGAAAGAGAACGACTGTTTTTACAAGGTCCTTCTTAAAAAGTGTAAGATTGTTCAAGAAACTTGGAAATTATCCAACATCTAAAGGGAAGAGAGAGAGAGGTTCACTTGTCAACTTACTTGTAAGGTAAAATTTATGCTACGTCAAGGTTGATATTTGAGAAAGAGAACGACTGTTTTTACAAGGTCCTTCTTAAAAAGAATAATATTGTTCGAGAAACCTGGAAATTATGAAACATCTAAGTAGATCTTTGGGAGGGAGAACAATTTTTCACAAGTCTTTTTTAAAAAAGTGTAAGATTCTTAAAAAAAGTTAGAAATTATAAAGTTGACGTTAGGGCCTTCTATTAGATAATTTTACCATCTAGGTTAATATTAGAAAGGGATAACTTTTTACTTGTCCCTTCTTAAAAGTAACCATAAAAAACAACACTTGGAGGTTGTATTTAGATACCTTAGATGTCTTTCATTGACTGAGAAAAATATGAGTGAAGCAATAGAAAACTAAAAACATCAATGACAAAAGAGAAAATGGATTTTATTGAGTTACTTTTGATATTATAAGAGAAATAAATAACATTCGAAAGTTTCAAAATAGTTCGTTAATAAAACAGAAGTAAAAAATTCCTAACTAAAGTTAATTACTTCATTGGCAAAAGTGTAAAGTAAGAAACCAAATCTGACACTTTCTTATTGTCTGACCGTTCCAGAACTATTAATATTACTTGTCTATTGTTGTTTTAATTATTAATTTACAAATAAAAAACTGTCAGTGAAGAGGAAAAAATGATGCCTAAGCAGTACAAGTATAGGTTGGTAAGAAGTTCTGCTCGGCCAACACAAAATTATGGCGTACAAAAGAATCCAACGAACCCCAGTCTTAATGTTTGCTTGATTATAATTTATGTTATTAAAAAAAGCAAAAAGAAAACATTCTACGATCTTCTGATCTAGGCGAATAAATTGGCTAAACCTTCGGATAAGGAAATCTACGATACATAAAGCGTATAAAAACATTTGACATTTAAAGGAAAATGCCCACGAACAAGCTGGAACTTTTGAATTTGGAAATCTGGTCTGAAAAGGGAGAAGAAAATGGTCCAAAAAAAACTTACCTTCCGATTTCCGAGCAAGGCGGTCCATCCGTGCAAACGGCTCCTTTTGTGAACCGGTGGAGTTTTGAAGGCGTTGGTGGCGGAGGGACTTCTGGATCCGGAGGGACGTGCAGTTCCTTTGTTTTAGCGGATTTCCAGAAAATGAAAAAACCAGTCGTGACGATTATAACGGTTACGACTGAGAACAGGAACAGTTTCCAACTTCTCTTCTTTCTTCCTCTGCAAAAGAAAACCAAATGTACAACGTACAAAACTGTGCATACATAGGTTGACATTAGAAAAAAGGGACAACTTTTAACAAGCTCTTTGCCAAGTATACAATGAATATCTTGTTATATTCGTAATTAGGCTCATATTACGGAAATATACTACATTTTTCGCAAGTTCTTTTATTTAAAATAAGATTTATGAAATCGTAAGGATGAGAACCTATTGACGAACAGTTGCACAAAAGTCAGATTCTTTATGAAACTTGAAACGTTGTGCGAATAAAAAGACGGACATTCTTTTTACAAACAATTTGCAACATAAGAAATTGCAGAATATAAGTATGTGAAATTTTCTACTAGGAAGGGAGAAAATCTTTTTAACAAGCTCACTGATAAAAAGAGATCAGTTTTTGATGAAACTTGGAACATCAGGAGGAACGAGGCCAACTTTTCACGAGTATTTGTTTAAAATCTAATTTTTATCAACTTAGATGTTATACAATATCTCAGTTGATATTAAGGAAGTAGATCACGTTTTTAACAAGCCCTTTGATAAAAAAATTATCTGATTGTTTATGAAACCTGGAACATTAAATAATCAAGGCAGAAGGACAACAACAGTTGTTTTCAGGAAAATTTGTAAAAAATCTATTTTTTTAAAAGAAACTTAGAACATAATACAACATCTTAGTTGGAATTAAGGTGAGAAAACACATTGTTAACAATCTCTTTGATAAAAAAATAATCTAATTGTTTACGAAACCTGGAACATTAAATAATCAAGGCAGAAGGACAACAACAGTTTTTTTTTTTCAAGAAAATTTGTAAAAAAATCTTATTTCTTTATGAAACTTAGAACATTATACAACATTTAGTTGATATTAGGGTGAAAAAACAATTCGTGAACAATCCCTTTGATAAAAAAATGATCTAATTGTTTATGAAACCTGGAACATTAAATAATCAAGGCAGAAGGACAACAACAGTTTTTTCAGAAAAATATGTTTAAAAAATCTTACTTTTTTAAAATGGAATTTAAAACGTTAAACATCTTAGCTGAGATTAGAGCGAGAAAACACTTTTTTAACAATCCCTTTCATAAAAAAAGATCTAATTGTTTATGAAACCTGGAACATTAAATAATCAAGGCAGAAGGACAACAATCGTTTTTTTTTTCAGGAAAATTTACAAAAAATAGTATTTTTTAATGAAACTTAGAACGTTATGCAACAACTTAGTTGAGATTAGGGTGAGAAAACATTTTGTTAACAATCCATTGGATAAAAAAAGATCTAATTGTTTATGAATCCTGGAACTTTAAATAATCAAGCCAGAAGAACAATAACAGATTTTTTTAGAAAAATATGTTTAAAAAAATCTTCTTTTTTAAAAATGGAACTTAAAACGTTATACAACTTAGCTGAGATTAGAGTGAGACCCCTTTGATAAAAAAATCATATTTTTCAATTCTTTAAATTAATTATTTACTTAATTACTAATTGTTTTTTTGGTTAAATAATCTAGGCAGAAAAATAACATTTTTTCTCGAAAACTAGTAAAAATTTAATTTTTATGAAACATCTCAGTTGATATTAGGTAGGGAGCATATCATTTCAATAAGTTCTTTGATAAAAAAAAGTTCAGATTTTTTTATGATACAAAAAATGAATTATTTATGGAACTTAGAGCATTTTTAATCTAGAGAGGAGGGACCTTTTCCCAAATTACATGCGAAAAAATAGAACTATTTATTAAGTTAGAACTTTATACATCTCAGTTGATATTAAGGAGGGCAAATACCTTTCAGCAAGCAACTTAATAAAAAAGACAGATTGTTTATGAAACTTGACAGGTTATAACTTCTAAACATGATGACTGTGACCCCTTATTTAAAAAAAAAGTTTTTTCATGAAAGCTGCTACATTATACTACATGTACGTTAATATTAAGAAAGTACCACTTTTTCACAAGCCGATTGGAAAAAATACGTAACTAAATTAAATGTTTGTGACTAGTATCGAAAACATATTTCTGACTTTTTTCATAGTTTTATTATCTAATCAGAATATCAGGTAGCTAATTTTGCTATATTTACAATGGGGGTGCATCATAAAGTATTAATATGAAATTACGCTTTTGTGATGTAAAATTAACAAATTACATTTTGTTGATATAATTACTTATATGTTTTTTAATTTGTTGTTTCAATCTTTCGTTCTTTCTTTTGTTCTTGTTGTTCACAACTTTCAAGAAGAGTTTTGGAAGAGCAGAGATGTTAAATGTTTATCTTATTCTTACCAAAAAAAACCACATGGATCTTCGCCTGCCAGCTTATCTATTGATAACCTATCAAATAAAAACTCAAGTGTATTAATAAACTACATAGTAGACGACATGGCTGCCAGTATTGACACAGTATTATAAGCACATAGAAGAAATTCAATTAAACAGTTTGTAAATTATTGTAGTAAGTAATTTTGAAAAATCTGAATCAAAATAATTTTTCTAAATTTCTGAGCTAACGACTGAAAAATATGGAATAAAAGAAATAGATCACATTTCAGGCTATGAAAACTGATAAACCGATGAAAACAGAAGACTTGTACATTTCCCATCCTAATGTTATACACATTTCTTGAAAAAAAAAACCAAACAATTGTGGTTTTAAATATTTTTCAAAAAAAAAAATATATATATATATTATGTCGGGTTGGATGCGGTGCCGCTGGATTCGAACTCGGGACCTTTACCTTACAGTGACGAGCGCCTTGTCAACGCCTAAACCGTTGCGGCCACCGACGCTCCCGTAATTGTGGATTAAAAAAAAAACTTTTCCATGTGATTTTTTGTTTGATTTTTACATTCAATTTTTTTTAGCGTTTCGGGATGTACACCCATCATCAGATTCTGTCGAAGGATGTTCTTTTCAATTTTTGATTGTTGATTATCCTGGATTAAATCGCTTTTTCCAGGATATTCCTTGTATTTAAGTTTTTTATATTATAATTTATTAATTCACTACTTTCGTGGTCCTGAAAAAAAGTTAATGGCACGAGAGGGATTCGAATCGGATTTTTTCATCTCAACTAAAAACCTTAATTAATTGTCATTATAATTTATATTAGTAACATGGACTTTTTGAAGACCTATTGTGTTTTTTATATATAATTATATATAATTTGTGGTTTAAAAAAAAACTTTCCACTTGATTGTTTTAAATAAGTTGTTTTAAATAATTTTTTGTTTTATTTTTTATTAGATATTTTGGACGGAAAAAAATCCATGCTTCTAATATAAATGTAATATAAAAACCTTAAAGACAAGGGAATAACCTGGAAAAACTATATAATCAAGGAATTAAACTATATAATCAAGGAATTAAGGTTTTTAGTTGAGATAAAAAGTCAGTGTCACAAGCGGGATTCGAACCCACGACCTTCATTGAAAAATGACAAAAAGGATGGAGCATTCAAAAAATGAGGTTGAGATGGGAAGTTTGTGCCAGAGTGGATCGAAGTCACGATAGCTCAAGTGGTAGAGCAGCGGCGTATCAAGCCGAAGACCGTGGGTTCGAATCCCGCTTGCGACACTGACTTTTTATCTCAACTAAAACCTTAATTAATTGAAAGATATTAATTGGCCAAGCGGACCACGAAAACTAGTGAATGTATATAATCAAGGATAATCAAGAATCGATAAATGCAAAAAGACATCTTAAAACAGATGTTGATGATGGGTGTAAATTCCTGAACGACCAAAAATTTAATATAAAAATAAAACAAAACAAAATATTTAAAACAACCCCTTGGAAAAGTATTTTTAAACCACAAATTATAAAAAAGACAATAAGTCTTTAAAAAATCCATATTAATTATTATTATTAATTTTTAAGAGAGTTGTAACATTTAAACCTTCTATCTTAGGTTAGCTCTGCCTTGAAACATCTAATCTATCCTAACTAATCTACCCTATTGCCATCCAAAGCTTCTAATTTATCCTTTTAAAATACTTAATTTGGAAGGCCAAATGTATGCAAAAAACCCATTTTAAATTGTAAAATTTATTCATCTTTAATTAGAATTTCGAATTTTTGGTCCATAATTTAAACATTTCCCATAGGCTTGTATGGCCAATAATAATCATAATAATAGCAACAGTCTCAGCATGAGCAAAGGCTCATCGTTATTTATTTTTTTCTTCCAATCAAATCCTATAAATACACTAATGCTACTTAACAATAACAATAAAACAAAAACACAATAACACTTCTTTTTCTTAATCGACTTTTTTTTTAAGGGAGCTATCTTCCTTATTTAAATTGCGCTTTTGGGCATTGTTGTTTATTACCCGCTCCGGCAGCCTCAAAAACTCCTGAAAAAAAAGAAAGAAGCTCTAGCACACAAACATTCAAAGTATAAGAATTTGGGAAAAGGCCTAAATCTCGGTCTAAATTCCAATAAATTTAAGAAAGCTGAAAAGTGCTCTTCGATCTAGTAAATCACACTTACACTCAAATCACTCGAAAGGTTGAGCCTTTGCCTGAAGTGTTGCAAAGTGTCGACCAAAACAGTTACAGTCAGAACACGTTCTATATTTGTGTTTTGATAATTATACAAGAAAATGCAAAATTTAGCAAAAAAATTCTTTGCGTACTGCCGTTGTTATACAACTGAAAGATTTCACTTTTCTAAGATTAGAAAAGATATTTTTCAATATAAGAAAACAAGAATAAACATCAATTTAACTTACGACCGCATAAAATTATCAACGATTAAGCTTAATAAAAACGTCGACGGAATCAATTTGCTCCAGTTGAGATGTTTATAATAAACGATAACAGTATTATCGTTTAAAAAGGTTAAAAAAACATCGCTATAATTTTATTTTCAATAGACAACACTTGTATTGATTCAGATGTTAGACTCCTGTCAAAAATAGGTGTATACATCATTTTCACAAATAGAAATCCTTTCTAAAGTCCCTATACAGCAGATCGATCATTCATATTTG